GCTGGCAACGATATTTTCGAGTTCACACGTAGCAGGCATTTGAATGCACAGATTTTCTACGATGGATTCCGTGGTAGCCCTAATTACTTAATTTGGGAATCTCGTACATGTGCATCTGTGTTTAATAATAAGTAGCACCTGTTTTGCTAAGGTCCAAATATTCTTCAGTGTGCTCGTTTTCAGACTTCTGCCGGAGATAATAACGGCAAGGTCATCTACATTTGCAGTTAGATGAGTTCTCTCTTAAATTCAACTTTTTATATGCGAGAAGTATTTTACCAGGGAACACTATTATTTTTTCGAACCGAATTGAACCGAACCAAACCATTTTTAGGCGAACCATAAGGCGTTAAACACACCGTTTCATATGCTGTAGGATCCCATGCTGATACAAAACTTATTTTTGCTATCTCTATGTCAAGATTTCGTCACATTTTGTTTTCAATTTTAAGTATTCATGAATACATATCTTTGTATATACTTAACTTCAATGGTTTTATTTTTCCATTGCGTTTATTAGAATGGCGGAATTCTCGGAGTGCCAATGGGCTTTTTAGATTTTGCACCAGAACCACCAGCACCTTCAGCGACACCTGTAACAGTAACGGAACATGTTGATTTATCTTGTAACCCCAATACTGATACCCGAGATTTATCAAGTGAGTTTTTGGTACTTTATCTAATATATGTAATTATATTGTTTGGTGACTTGTAAAAAATTTGCTTTAATCATTGTTGAAAAAAAAAAGAATAAGCAAAATTTCGAATGCCACTTGGTGTAAATTAGAGCCTCTCATCATTCATCTTATCATACATATGTATATGAACCTTGTGTTTATTGTCGAACATTCTTCCAGACCCCACCGAAGCACTTGACATCGACAATCACTTGGCCCAACACATGATTCAACGGCTTGATCAATCTCCGATGCATGCTATGCATCATCAAACTGGCGACGAGAGTAACTCGAATTTAGTACAACACATAAAGAGTGAAGTGATTGAGGCGAAACAACAACAACAGCAACAACAGCAGCAGCAGCATCACCAATCACAGCAACATCAATTACATGCACAACAACTAACACAGACACAGGCACAGCAACAGCAACATCAACAACATCAAGTACATCAACAACAAACTTCTCATTCACACTCAACACATAGCCAACAACAAGCACAATCACATCAGGACATATCCGGTGCAACAGTAATGGAAATCGATCCGAGCCAAATAAAACACGAACCTGGAATGATCATAACGCCGGAAATAGTTAATATGATGACAACTGGACACATGGGTATGTGCTGGAAAATATGTTGATCATCGTACTAATGATTGTTGTTTTTTTTTTTTAATACCAGAGCGTATATTACTATTAAAATTTATTTGCATAACGGTGTTTTGTAACACCCTAAACGAATCGAAATAAATATGGGCAGATATGTACATACATACATGTATTTTTCCCATATACACTCACGGTCAAAAGCATTTGCCCAGATCGCCATTCGCAATATATGCAATAATTTTTATTTAAATTTTCTTTCCGCAAATTTTTTTATAAAAAAATATGGTTCATACTACAACAAAAGACATACAAATCTGATTTCTAAACTTTGTGCAAAACTCAGGAAAATTCAATAAATTTCCATGCAAATTTTCAACTTCTTAATCAGATTTTTAAATTTTTTTCGAGAAGGTAGAGAATTTCGTTTACTTGGGAACCAGCAGTCTTTTCTCGACATACGAAAAACCTTACTCTATAAGTCACACATCTTACCCGTGCTGTTATATGGCGCAGAAGCATGGACAATAATAACATCCGATGAAGTGGCTCTTGGAGTATTTGAGAGAAAGACTTTGCGGAAGATTTACGGGCCTTTGCGCGAGTGGAGAAGGACTTGGCTTTACTTGGCATTTCCAATTGGCGTCAGTTGGCACAGAAAAGAAACGACTGGTGTACTTTGTTGAACTCGTCCAAAATCGCTTAAGCGGTTACAGCGCCAAATAAGAAGAATAAGAGAATCAGTTTTTTTCGAGAATGCAGTTTTGTAGGCCAATACATTTTAGTACAATAAAGTGCAAGTTTGAAGTAGCTAGGAGTTACCATTGATTTTTTGGCAATTTGTTCACGCAATTTCCTCCATAAAAAAAAAAAAAAAAACAAAATACTTTGTATAAAAAAAAAAATAAAAAACGCCTTCAACAAAAACCATTCTCAAAAGTAAAAGCGATTTTTTAGAAACTTCAAACTTGCAGTTTTTATTAAAATTTAATGAGCAAAAAAATTTAAAATTTACATGGACATTTATTGAATTTTTTATTATTAACCATATTATTATAAAAAAACTAGCGAAAATAAAATTAAATAATTTTTTGTTTACATATGTCATGAAAAATTCTCTGGGCAAATACTTTTGACCGTGGTATATGTACATATGTATGTGAATAAATAAATATATACTAAATCGATTAAGACATGTCTGTCTGACATGGTGTTTGCCACTGCACACGATAACTCGACAAAAATTGAGATATTTCAATGAAATTTATTATAAAGATTTCGGAAAATCAAAACTAGGACAATGCTTAGGTTAGAAAATAGACGGCTACAAAATGTTGTACAAGCGTGGCTCAGCTCCGCTCCGCTTATAAAACGTAGATGGTTTCGGAAAATTAAAAAAAATTTAATATTTCACTATAAAATAATACTAAATTGATCAGATAAATGGGGGCAGAATTTAACAAAACATTGGGCTTTTGTAAAATTTAAGAATATTACAGTTGTAACATTTAAGAATATTACAATTGTAAAATTTAGGAATATGGGCGTGCCCAGCCCGGTTAATATAAAATGTGTTTATCTTATTTTTAATCGATCTTTCCGTAATTTGGCACACATTGAAAGCTTTTGTTTATACGAACAGCCGCCGTTTTTTGTCATTTCTCATGCGTTCGCCGCCTAAGGAATTTTGTACAAAATTTTCATGTTGTATGCATATTGAAATACATCGTTTGAAGGAACTAAATACTACTCGTATAAAAACACTATTTTACGAAATGAAAATTACATTTTTAAAATAAGTGTTTTTTGCATAATTTGCGATCGATAGCGTTTATTACAGTTAAATTAGTAATGGTAAGCTGACGATTTTTTCCGCAGTAGAAAATTTTTTTCAATACTACTTTTTTATATACTACATCAACAAGAAAGTTATTCACATCAAAAACTTTAACGCCAATATCTCAGAAAGCAATTTTAACAAAAGCGCCCTTATTGCATCTAACTCCTCAATTATTGGAGATAAAATAAAAGCCCTGTTCGCGTACGCACTATCCAGTAAATCCAGTACTAATTTTACTGGTTTTTTACTGGATGTCGTTTTTGTACGCAAAAACTTGCAAGAAACTAGCAAAAGTGGGGAAATTGAGAGAGCAGAAATGACAGCTGAATTTGCAAGTTTTACTGGATTTTTACTGGATAAATTTTTACTAGCAACTATTTGCTAGTAAGAGAAACAGCTGATGGGATGGCACATTAACAAAATAATTGTTTGTGGTGCTTTTAGAGTTGCAATTGACAAAATATACCTATTTAAATATATAATAAGATGGAAAATATTAGTTTTCGAAGAAAAATGCATCGGAAATTAACAAATTAATCAGCTGTTCGTAAAACTAGCAACTTCTTGCTGGTTTTGCGTTTTCGTACTTTCTTGCGTATTTCACTCATTGGGAGTAAATATTGGCTTACTCTCCGAAATTTGGTTACTGGCAAGTTACTCTAGATATTTTTTGCTGGAGAATACGAAAACACAACTAAAGAGTAGTTGATTTTCCTGTGTTTTTTTTAATATTTTAAACAGAATTTTAATAAAAAGCAAACACTTTTTTTGCTAATTTTTTAAGTTACTTTATTCTGGGGTCCCACAGACGTATACAATAACTAGGTGGCTGTGGGAAAATTACGTTAGTATTCCTAAGTAGTGGTCAAACCCCAGGAAGGTTTTGCTCCCGCGCATCGCAATATTTTCTACACAGAGTTAAAGTGCCCCTTTTTGGTAAAAATTACTATTATTTTGCATTACATTTTGTTCTCCTTAGAAAGATTTGGCGCTTAACATAGTAGTGGAAATTGTAACTATTTTTAAGCCATTTTTCAAACAGTGGGTCAAAAAGGCCCGTTCTGGTGGGAGTTGATGGGTTAAACTTTGGAAAAAAAAGTAGGCCAACCTTATTTTCAATATATAACCCACAAAAAATCGTAAGCACGGTTGATAAGCTTATTGCAAAAATTTGTTGATAGCGACATAAATTACCCCAATAACTTAACCTTTAAATTTTTTTATTTCTTTGAATTGAAATAGTACATACGGATTTGTAGAGTACATAGAGATGTATGTATATTAGGGTGCCCATCGAAAATCGTTTTTTTGTAAGTTAGTACTACATATTTTCAAATTGTCGAAATTATCGATGGTCAAAATTTAAAAAATTCTTTGAAATTCAAGCAAAAATAGTCATTCAAACACTCATGAATCTAGAAAATCGTATTTTCTGACCTAAATCGACAGGCTGCGACCTCTAAATGGCCTTTAAAAAATCTATAAAAATATGCAATAATATTTCTCATAAAAAACGAATTAAATTAGGGGGTAGGGTCTTTAAATTTTCAAAAACAGAATTGTCGATGGGAAACCTAATGTATATACAATATAGACTTTCTTTTGTTCGCCCATCCATCAGCAGCAGTCACTCAACATTTGAATTCAGTGAATGAATTAAATCGAATTATAATCTGATGACATGATAAGATTAGAAGCCTCATGGCTCTTTCGAATCTGCCTTATGGGCAGCAGCGCCGGCGTTTCCAGACGCCCCGATTCTTTCTAAAGTTGACCACGCCGCCGCCGCAAAGTCTGTCGGCGTAAACCTCTAGTAGATAACAACTTTCTATACACCACGTAAATGAAGTTCGGTCTAATTGTTGTATATGCATTTGTATATAATTTTATTAAATCCGCATTTCCGTATGTTCATTTGCAAGTCGTTTTTTTGTTTTTCAGATATGTATAATTCAGATACTAGTGAGGATTCAATGATGATAGCAAATGGCTCACCTAACGATCAAAA